TACCCCGGCCCTCTACGCTGCCTGGAAGATCAGCAGGTAGGTGTGTCTGTGTGATTACCTCTTTCCACTCCCCTATTAATACCTACAGAAGCAGATCTCCGCTCGTGAGGTCGGTCTTTAACTTTTTTTTCATGTAATTCTTTTACACTTTTTATCGGTTGCAACATTAATTTCCGTCCTTATTTCATGGCTCTACCACTGGATTTATTAAAAAAAACTTGTATCTGTTTTTTCTTCTGTTTCCATCCATAACTTCTTAATGTCTCTGTTGCTGGTACTGTGAAGTCTTCTTTATCTTTTGTTTCAATTTGGTTTCTAACCTTATTGTGGTTATCACTTCTCTTAAGAACATAAGAAAGAAGGAACACTGCAACAGGCCTATTGGCCTATGCAAGGCAGCTCCAATTCTCCCATCGGCTGAAGCCAGTGCCTTGACCTAGTGAGGTCAGACACGTCACTTAAGGGAGGAGCAGTGCAGCCGACCTAGTAGCACAAGCTAGTCAGGTCCAACTCACACCCACTCATGTATTTATCCAACCTATTTTTAAAACTACACAACGTCTTAGCGTCTATGACGGTACTCAGGAGTTTGTTCCACTCATCCACAAGTCTATCAGCCAGCGTGGGCATCTACTGTTGACAGCCTACCTTCATAACTTTTGTTGACAGCCTACCTTCATAACTTTATAAGTCATAATTTTCAGCACCGTTTGCCATCATGTAGCTTTTTAGAATTTTTCTAAATTTATTACATATTTTAGGTGTGAGCACCACACGGCTGCTGCATATTCCAGTTTAGCCTAACATGCGTTGTCAATATTTTTTTCTTTTCAACACTTCTCGGTTCATATATTTGAAAGCTATTTCGTAGTTCGTCAGTGTAGGAAAGGAGCTTCCAGTGACAATTTTCCCGGTAATTCCTAGATCTTCAGTCTGATACTTCCAGCATCCTGTTATACGATCTACTCTATGTTTATTTACGTCGCCTGTTGTTGCCTTATCCCATTTTCATTGCGTGTCATTTATCTACATTGAATTAAAATCCCTACTGGTTTAGCGCTTCTCCATGATACATTAAACTCCATCATTCCTTTGTTAAATTTATCCGAGTCACTCTGTACTGATCTACGATGAGTTTTATTATTTATTTAACTTAGGATTGTTGCATCATCTTTATCAGACATTAATATAGTTTTTTATTCCTTTTAGCTTCTCATGGAAGGTTCCTTGATGTTACATAAGAACGAAGGAACACTGCAGAAGGCCTACTGGCCCATGCGAGGCAGGTCCAAGTCTCCTACCGGCTTAAGCCAATGCACCCAACCTAGTCAGGTCAGGTCACATTGACTTAAGGGAGGAACACGGCAACCGTCCTGGTAGCACAAGCTATCAGGTCCAACTCACACCCACCCACATCCACTCATGTATTTATCCAACCTATTTTTAAAGCTACACAACGTTCTGGCCTCTATAACTGTACTCGGGAGTTTGTTCCACTCATCCACAACTCTATTACCAAACCAGTACTTTCCTATATCCTTCCTGAATCTGAATTTTTCCAACTTAAAACCATTGCTGCGAGTCCTGTCTAGGCTAGATATTTTCAGCACACTATTTACATCCCCTTTATTTATTCCTGTCTTCCATTTATACACCTCAATCATATCCCCCCTAATTCTACGTCTTTCTAGAGAGTGCACAATTCAGGGCCCTTAGTCTATCCTCATAGGGAAGGTTTCTGATACATGGCTCTTGATTTAGGGAATTGGATCTGTGCTCCAGTTCCCCGAATTAAGCCTGAATGCCTTCCACATCCCCCCTCGGGCGCTGTATAATCCTACGGGTTTAGCGCTTCCCCCTTAATTATAATAATAGTATTCCTTTTAGTATATCACTTGCATGAATTAAAATTATTATCTGATTACATTAAGCAAAATTCGTCAGCAAACAGATCCAGTGTTTCGTGAGGGGGGTCGAGTCACATGATGACCCGCAGCTGGAGCGTTTGGTCACGAGTAAGTACAGATCTTTGTGGCGCCCCGCTGATGATATTTCCCCAAGTGAAAGTTTTCCTTTCATAACTGTTCTGTCAGACAGTCTCCCATCCATTGCAGGACCTTGCCTTTTATGCCTTCTATAACTTGCAGCTTCCTTACTTTGTTAAGGGCTGTTACGCCCTTGGAGCAATCCTCCCCTTCCTTGTATTAACCCTGATTATCTCCAGTAATCACATTTTCTTCCCCTTGACGCAGGTCGACTAAGGAGACTCTCTGCAACTTCCTTCAACTGAGCTTCAGAGGTCGACGGTCCGCCCACACCCAGAGCTTCACGCCCATGTTTTACTCCTGTCACACGGGCGCCGCACACCGCCTCTCTTTGGAGCCTGCCCTGGCCCCTGCCTCGCCCCACGCCCACTATGCTCCCTCCCCCCACCAGGGAGGTCTCACGCCCAACAGAGAGGACAACCCACGTCCCTACTCCCTCGCTTTGCCCTCTTGAGGTGTGTTGATGCCTTTATTTATTAGTAAACAAGAGTCACTATGATTAATCTAACTACAAACAATTCTGGGGGTCACCGCCCCCGCCGCTCGCTTCCAGACCAGCCCTCCTGGTTGACAGCCTGATCAAATTTAGCCTCTTAATGAAAAAGACACCAATGGAATAAATATATTACGAACCTTTTATTGAAAACATTTCGCTCACACATTATGTTTTAACAAGTAGCAATCAAATTTACTTGAGAAGAGGGAGGGAGGAAGGAAGAAGATCGAGGAAAGGTGTGTTGAAGCTATTACCTTTGCTAGACTAATAACAGTTCGGACAACTATATGGCTGAGAAATGTTGGATTTGAGAAGAACATGCCTAGAATGAGCCAGTAGTCCTACTACAGGCCTACTGGCTTGTTTCTGTGTGGGATACCAATCAAGTAGGTTCCTGATAAGAGGCTCAGCTATGTTGTATAGGCCATTGTCTTGCTTGAAATTGTTAGATAAGCTGAAGAGTGGTATAAACCTTGGTAATTGATACCGACAAATTTGTTTCACCAAACATTAGGACATATTTATTAGAAAACGTTTCGGTCCTGGAACCGAAACGTATTCTAATGTGTCTTAGTGTTTGCGTAAGTGTCTTTCTAAACCATGTTGACTGATGATTCTAAGATGCTTCCTCTTCGGGTGTCTTCCTCCACTTAACATTACACGGGTGTGCGGCCGTGTGATGTTAAGTGGTTGTGGGAGTGTCAGAGCAAAACGCATAGCGTACTGGCGAGCGTACTTCGCCAGCGTACTGTCGAACAGAACTAGGCCTGTGGATGTCTCTGGATGTTTCACCCACATATATTTTGACACAATCGTTGCAAGGGATTGTGTATATCTCTACAGTTGGCCGAACCTGTTGGTGTTGTCCCTTACTGGTGTGATACGGTACACAAATCACCCGCACATAGAAACATCTTTCTTCTATGTGTGGGTTGTGTATTCTAGTCATGGTATTGTGCTTCTTTGTTCTTTACTGGTGATGCCACTGTAGTGGAGTCACTGGCGGCGTCTTGGTATCTGGTGTTGATGTGTTTACCAATGGAGTTGTTAGGGAGAACCGTGTATCTGTTTTCGATGGTGTCTCGTCTAGGTGAGCTGAAGATATGTGCACGGCGTCTGCAAACTTTCTGGATGCGGAGGGTGGTTAATTAGAAACCATTGACGATGCGTTGCTTAGTCTTGGTATCACTATGTGAGAAGTGAAGAAGGTCATGTCGGCTGGCGAGTTAGCGGTAGACTTCAAAGCGAAACTAATGGTTAACTGTGCAAATTAGAACATCGAGAAAAAAGAAGTGCCGTCGACTTCTTCGAGCGTGAATTGAAGCCAGGACTTGACCTTGTTGAACTTCTGTTGGAGTGAAGGGACGTCCAGTTGTCCTTAGGGGTTTTCGTGGGTATGTCGTCAACATACCGGAGCCAGGTGATGGAATGGATAATGGAGGAAAACGTTCTCGGTTTTGAGGTATTCCATTTATGGGTTTACTAGTACAACACTTAGTGGGGAACCCCGTGGGGAGGCAGAAAGTCTGTTCAGAGATTAGAGATCATTTTCAACAGAGAAATGGTTATGTTACAGGCACTGCATAATCAAATGGTTCTGTTTCTTTGTAAAACCATGTAAAGTCCTTCCACTGGGGAATTTTTCGTGGAAGTTGACATACATAGGCGGTAGTGGTGGTAGTGATGATAACTGTAGTGATGGTTGTATAGTGGAAGAGCTGGTATTGGTGGTAGTGCTGGTAGCTTTGGTTGGGGGTAGGAAGCGATGATGTTAGTGGTAATGTGGTGGCAGTGATAGTAGTAGTAGTAGTAGTAATAGTTGCAGTTTTTTTTTAGTGGTGGTGGGTGTGGCTGTAAAGCAGAGATTGGAGTTTGATGCCTGGGACGAGTAGAAACATTGATCATGTCTCCTTACACCAGCTGCCCCTGTTCACCTAGCAGTAAGTACCTGGGTGCTAGTCTCCTTACACCAGCTGCCCCTGTTCACCTAGCAGTAAGTACCTGGGTGCTAGTCTCCTTACACCAGCTGCCCCTGTTCACCTAGCAGTAAGTACCTGGGTGCTAGTCTCCTTACACCAGCTGCCCCTGTTCACCTAGCAGTAAGTACCTGGGTGCTAGTCTCCTTACACCAGCTGCCCCTGTTCACCTAGCAGTAAGTACCTGGGTGCTAGTCTCCTTACACCTGCTGCCCCTGTCCGCAGTAAGTACCTGGGTGCTAGTCTCCTTACACCAGCTGCCCCTGTTCACCTAGCAGTAAGTACCTGGGTGCTAGTCTCCTTACACCAGCTGCCCCTGTTCACCTAGCAGTAAGTACCTGGGTGCTAGTCTCCTTACACCAGCTGCCCCTGTTCACCTAGCATTAAGTACCTGGGTGCTAGTCTCCTTACACCAGCTGCCCCTGTTCACCTAGTAGTAAGTACCTGGGTGCTAGTCTCCTTACACCAGCTGCCCCTGTTCACCTAGCAGTAAGTACCTGGGTGCTAGTCTCCTTACACCTGCTGCCCCTGTCCGCAGTAAGTACCTGGGTGCTAGTCTCCTTACACCAGCTGCCCCTGTTCACCTAGCAGTAAGTACCTGGGTGCTAGTCTCCTTACACCAGCTGCCCCTGTTCACCTAGCAGTAAGTACCTGGGTGCTAGTCTCCTTACACCAGCTGCCCCTGTTCACCTAGCAGTAAGTACCTGGGTGCTAGTCTCCTTACACCAGCTGCCCCTGTTCACCTAGCAGTAAGTACCTGGGTGCTAGTCTCCTTACACCAGCTGCCCCTGTTCACCTAGCAGTAAGTACCTGGGTGCTAGTCTCCTTACACCAGCTGCCCCTGTTCACCTAGCAGTAAGTACCTGGGTGCTAGTCTCCTTACACCAGCTGCCCCTGTTCACCTAGCATTAAGTACCTAGGTGCTAGTCCCCTTACACCAGCTGCCCCTGTTCACCTAGCAGTAAGTACCTGGGTGCTAGTCTCCTTACACCAGCTGCCCCTGTTCACCTAGCATTAAGTACCTGGTGCTAGTCTCCTTACACCAGCTGCCCCTGTTCACCTAGTAGTAAGTACCTGGGTGCTAGTCTCCTTACACCAGCTGCCCCTGTTAACCTAGCAGTAAGTACCTGGGTGCTAGTCTCCTTACACCAGCTGCCCCTGTTCACCTAGTAGTAAGTACCTGGGTGCTAGTCTCCTTACACCAGCTGCCCCTGTTCACCTAGCATTAAGTACCTGGGTGCTAGTCTCCTTACACCAGCTGCCCCTGTTCACCTAGCAGTAAGTACCTGGGTGCTAGTCTCCTTACACCAGCTGCCCCTGTTCACCTAGCATTAAGTACCTGGGTGCTAGTCTCCTTACACCAGCTGCCCCTGTTCACCTAGTAGTAAGCACCTGGGTGCTAGTCTCCTTACACCAGCTGCCCCTGTTAACCTAGCAGTAAGTACCTGGGTGCTAGTCTCCTTACACCAGCTGCCCCTGTTAACCTAGCAGTAAGTACCTGGGTGCTAGTCTCCTTACACCTGCTGCCCCTGTTCACCTAGTAGTAAGTACCTGGGTGCTAGTCTCCTTACACCAGCTGCCCCTGTTAACCTAGCAGTAAGTACCTGGGTGCTAGTCTCCTTACACCAGCTGCCCCTGTTCACCTAGTAGTAAGTACCTGGGTGCTAGTCTCCTTACACCAGCTGCCCCTGTTCACCTAGCATTAAGTACCTGGGTGCTAGTCTCCTTACACCAGCTGCCCCTGTTCACCTAGCAGTAATGTACCTGGGTGCTAGTCTCCTTACACCAGCTGCCCCTGTTCACCTAGCATTAAGTACCTGGGTGCTAGTCTCCTTACACCAGCTGCCCCTGTTCACCTAGTAGTAAGCACCTGGGTGCTAGTCTCCTTACACCAGCTGCCCCTGTTAACCTAGCAGTAAGTACCTGGGTGCTAGTCTCCTTACACCAGCTGCCCCTGTTAACCTAGCAGTAAGTACCTGGGTGCTAGTCTCCTTACACCTGCTGCCCCTGTTCACCTAGGTGTTATCCAAATAGTATGGGTAGCATCCTGGGAGAGAAGATTAAAGGATCCCACGTGAAATAAATCAGACTGATGACATACATGACTTGATTGAGTTATCGTGGATTACAACCCTCCGGGTTAATAATCCCATCAGAATAATCTTGGATGGTGTCACTGTAACACCATTATGGTGTCACTGTGATACCAGAATGGTGTCACTAACCATAATGACGTCATTGTAACACCATAATGGCGTCGCTGTAACACCATAATGGCGTCGCTGTAACACCATAATGGCGTCACTGTAACACCATAATGGCGTCACTGTAACACCATAATGGCGTCACTGTAACAACTGGATGAGTGGAGAGGTCTGCTTGTCACTGGTCCTCCACAGTTCAGGACCAGAATGTTTACCTTCTAAGTGCTCCACAGAAGTCATGTATAAGCAATTGAAGAAAGCCTTTACTATTGTTTTTTTTTCAGTATCATGGGTTTTTTTCAGCTTCATGGTTATTTTTCAGTTTCATGGGTTTTCTTTAGTATCATGGGCTTTTTTCAGTATCATAGTTTTTGTCAGTAGCATGGTTTTTTAGTGGCATGTTTTTTTCAGCAGCATGTTTTTTTTTTCAGTAGCATGGTTTTTTTCAGTAGCATGGTTTTTTTCAGTAGCATGTTTTTTTTCAGTAGCATGGGTTTTTTCAGTAGCATGGTTTTTTTCAGTAGCATGGTTTTTTTCAGTAGCATGGTTTTTTTCAGTAGCATGGGTTTTTTCAGTAGCATGGGTTTTTTCAGTAGCATGGTTTTTTCAGTAGCATGGTTTTTTTCAGTAGCATGGTTTTTTTCAGTAGCATGGGTTTTTTCAGTAGCATGGTTTTTTTCAGTAGCATGGTTTTTTTCAGTAGCATGGTTTTTTTCAGTAGCATGGTTTTTTTCAGTAGCATGGGTTTTTTCAGTAGCATGTTTTTTTCAGCAGCATGG